AGTGACTGGGAAGAGATCAGTGCTTTAGAGCTGAATTCACAACAGCTAGCATGCTGAATGGGAGACAGGGGAGAGGGACACATAAGCAGCCAACAGGAAGGGGTATGTCTGAAATCCTACCGCCCTCCTGGGCTTAGTCGCCTGAGTGTGCCTGGAATTCACAGACCTAAACCTACTTTAGGAGCCTAAGTCATTCCCTTGGATGCAGACTGTTGGCTTGCTCTTTTTCTTTTAGAACACAGCTTCCAGTAGTGGTGCCATGAGGGCCTGTCTTTTATGGACTGTATTAAAGCATTCACCCAAGAATGCAATTTAGGTTCAGTCCCTCTTTAACCTGGCTGGGTTTCAAACCTGCGTCTCCGCCTCCCAGGTGAGTGTCCTAACACCAGGCTATAAGCTAGGCTGGGCTGGGGAGAGTCTGTCCTTGCCATTGGAGTTATGCACTCTGTAGAAAAAATGCAAAATTCATGGAACCAGAGAGCAAGCAAGAAGCATAATTCAAGCCCAGTGATGAAGGCAGTCCTTGGGAGGGGAAGCCCTAGGTGCTGCTCCCTGCTCCCACACTGCTTATCCATTTGCATTAAGATGTTATTGGCGAAAATACGTAAGCAGTGTTAGACGCGGGGACTGAGGCATGGTCCCCTTGTCCCCTGACTCTCTACTTCTGGGAGAGTGCCCGTCACACTCGGAGCTGGCCTTAGGGGTGGACTGTGTGGGTGACCACCAAGGGTGCCATGGTCAGGAGGGTGCCACACACATATACAACACACACATGCATGTGCACAAGTATGTACGTACATACCAGGAGCCTGTACTCGAAGCACTGCCCTTCCCCCCTGGCCGATCTCTGCTTCAGGCAGGAGGATCAGTGTCCAGCTCACCCCCTGCTTCCAGCTGCTGCTGAGGAAGAACCGAGCCAGGCAGTGCCTACCTGCCCACCTGCCTGGCCCACCATGCTGCTGTGCCTCTCCACGTGTGTGTGCCCTGCACCCCTGTCCATCTGCCTCTGTCTGCAGCAGTGCCACTGACTTGCGGGGGGAGCAAGTTTTATGGGGTGGGGCACCAGGGGTCAAGTGCTGATGATGAGGGGTACCAAAATACAAGCTTGCCCAGAGCACCATTTTCACTAAGGCCAGCTCTGATCTCACTGATTTTACAGCATCAGGTTCCCTCCTGTTTGTTCTCTTTCTCTGGCCCTGTGAATCTTGTACAGTGGCACAGCTTCAGCAAGAAGAGACATCGTCCTCATTCCAGCCTAGCTTTCAGTCTATTGTGAATTAGAGCAGGAGTGACCAGCATTTGGCTTTGGGGTGCTGTAACTGGCCCGGGCAGCCTGAGCATATGGCATGTGGCAGATTGGGGAGGAAACAGGCAGCACAGTGGCAGATAGGGAAACAAATCTGTCAGGGAGCACAGGGAAAGAAGCAGAAAGCAGAGCAGTGATTGGGTAGGGGGAGGGTCCTGGGCAAGTTTGTGGCATGCCTGCCAAAAAGTTTGGCCCCCACTGAACTAGAGTACATGGGTTTGAACCCCTCAGGCTAAGAAGGGCATTGAGCCCCAGTCTTCTACTTCCTGGACAAGTTTTTTAACCGCTAGACTATCATTTAACAAGCGAGCACATCCTCCTACTCCTCCTGTGACTGAGCTTGCAGTTGGAGGGGGCACTTAGTCTGTGAATCCACACAAGTCTGGTTATGAGATAAATGATGAGGTGTTTGACTTGGCCAAGTTGGTGGCACCTCTGGGCCTATTCAGTAATGGAGTTTTAGGCATCTGATTACCTTAACTGGTGAAACTTGGGGTGGTGTATAAAGCCTGTCAGGCTTCTGAGCAGTTAGGCGGGAGTTTGTGGATTGCTCACGTGAATTTAGGCACCAAAATTCTGCACTTTAGGTGCTTAAATTTTATTTTTTTGAGTCTTTCCCTGTAATAAATTAGGATTTAGACAAGGTACTAATTTCCCCACCCCAATCGTAAGGGATTAACGCAGGAGTGGGCAAAATATAGCCTGTGGGCTGGATCTTGCCTGCCAGGTACTTTCATCCAGCCCATGGGCACCTGCCAATGAACTCTACCATGCCCAGCCCATCCACCCACAAGGGTGGGAGCGAGGTGCCCACATATACACTCACCTCCAGCATACCCTTTTGCCAGTACTATACCAAGGAAGTTTGGTGCCCAAGGCAAGCCTGCAGTGGCAGTCTGCCCTCTTGCTGTGCACAGATCTGGGGGGGCACACCCCCCCATGCTTGTCTGGGAGTGAATGTAGCGGAAGGAGCCTCCCTACCCCCATCCCAGCGCCCCCCTGGACAAGCTGCTTGAGGCTCTGTCCTGCACCCTGCCCTGACTGAGCAGTGCCTATTGGCGTCCCACTTTGGTGCATGGGGCAGGTGCTCAGGTCTCTTCACTTCGGTGTGACAGGGGCGGGTGCGAGACAGGGGCGAGCTGCAGCTGGGTAGTGGCAGGGAGCATGGGGCTGGGGCTGGCAGCAGTGTGGAGCCCGTGCCCAGAGTGGTGGCGGAAGCACAGAGCTCAGCTGGGCAGCGTGTGGGTGTGAGGGATGGTGCAGGGTGTGGTGACCTTCCACACATGCCCCGACATGGCATGCAGCCGCTGCTGCTGGCAGCAGCAGCCAGCGGGAGTGCTCAGGGTGCTCATGCCTGGTGCCCAGTGGCACATAGCTCTGGCCAGCGCTGCACATGGGCATAAGGAGTGCAGCCTGCCCGGCCCACCTCTGTTGTGGGGGCTCTGCACACTGTGCCTGCAGCTACTGCACTTGCACGCCACCGGGGGAAGCCCTGCACTGGAGATGGTTGCCTTCTCCACCCCGCTGCTGCGCAGGTCCCAAGACTCCACCAGAAGTAGAGGGGAGCCCTGCCCTCTCCTTCTCCCCGGAGTTGCAGGACCTGTGTGGCAGGCGGTAGGGAAGGCAGCTGACTCCAATGTGAAGCTTCCCCCAGTGGTGCTAGTTATGTTTGCCAATAATTTATTCTTTAAAAACTAAATCAATAGGTGGATCCAGTCAGAAATACACTTATTCATTATTTTCAGTCTGTTCAAAGCACCCGCATAATTAAGGATAAATCCAGATTTTAATTGGATAAAATACGCAATCTGCCTGCTTTCAAGGGTAACCTGAATGAAGTTCTTCTCTAACAATGCAGATATGTGTTATCATCCTGTTGCTCCAATAAGCATCAGACAAAATGATTCGTTTCTGTCAGTCATTTGGTATTAGCAGAATGGCCATATTAATAAAATGCTGTCATCAGAGCAGCACATTGCACCTTAAGAGTGGAGGCCTTGGAGTAGAGGCAGCAACTGTCTGCTCTCACTGACGCCCTGAGCACCTTCATGCCACTCACTCAGTCCCACACCCTTTTCTAGTCCTGGTGTACTGCAGAGTTTGATTCTAGACTTAACCTTAAGAGGAAGAAACCTCAGCCTGGCTGGTGGTAAGGTAGAGAGTATTGCCAAAAACACAGCTTTCTTGTGGCTTCCTCAGGGATATTATCCGTTTCATTTTTACCTTTCTGGCTTGGTTCCTTTCACAGCCCCTTTTGATCTTACACTGTAGCAGGTAATCCAGAAGCAGGAAATGCACAGAGATATGTGCCATATCCATAGAACAATAGGGATATTTCTATAGGGATATTTCCCAGTTCATCACAAAAAGCCTCCCTGTGACTCCAAGGGTGACATGTTACAGATGGCTGGAGTGGTGTTTAATTGCTGACTGATAAGTTGTATCCAGCCCTCAGGTAATGTCTGTGGCAAGGGACAGAAGTTACACTTAAACTAGTTTAAGTGATCAAAAACTGGTTCAAATCTGTAACACAATAGAAATCCAGAGCACTTAAACTACTTTCAGAAAGGCCGAAACTGGTTTAAAATAAACCTGGTTGGATGTTTTATCAGACTGAACTGATTTAAGTCAAACCAGTTTATGGAACTTATGTCCCAGATGCCTACCCGGTTCAAGTTAACTCACAGTCCTCCAGCGTCCCAGGATACTTTGCAGCCCTGGGCTGTTCTGTCTGCTCCAGAGGAGCAGGGTTGGTCCTGCCCCTCTGGTCTGGAGCCAGAGCACTATCAGTGCTCTGGCTGGCTGAGAAGGGGGTGCCTGCCTGGCCACACTGGACCCCAGCCAGGGTCTGCCTGGCCATGGGGAGGCAATCCCTCTCAGTCTTTCCCCTCTCCCGCTCCGTTCTCTACTCAAGTGGAGAGTGGGGAAAAACCTGGGAGGGGGTGCTCCCCTCAGGCAGACCCTGGATGGAGTTGGTGCAGGCCAGGGTAGGGGTTTAAAACCCCACCCCCATCATATGCAGCAGGCCAGCTGGGGCCTGGGCACAGCCCCTGCTTGATCAGGGCGAGGGGGAAAAACCTCTGAGGGCTTCCCTCCCTTCACTTCAGCCATGGCCAGCAGGCTGGGAGGTGTGCTTTAGCACCCTCCATCTTCTGGCCTGAGCCACTTCAGGAATGTGGCTGCATTTCTGGAATCAAATGTGAATGTCTGTTCACTTGCTTCTCAGTTCAATCTATGCAGTTTAGACTAACCTGCAAAGATTGGATTGATTCAGCTTCAGGCTTTTTGACTGTCTGTACTTAGCCTGTGGAGCCCATGCAGGGCAGGAGTAAGGGACAGGGACCATCTGCTGGATCCTCCCACGGCCCGGCTTGCCGTATATTGAATTTGTAGATGATTTTATTAGGCACATGTTGTACGACTTAGTCCTTGCTTTTCTTTAATTAGAGGTTCTGTTTAGTTTTTCTGAACAACTAACTCAGTGAAGAATCGCACATTAACCCTGACATACTAGAAGCCAGTACTTTTCTGTTACTCAGGGTTGCTGTATGAGGCTCCATATTTCCTGCAGGATGACTTTAAGTGTTCTGCTACCAAACAGTTAATATTGCCTGTTGGTTTTGATCTTTGGTTTTTTATTTTTTAACCCGTAATAATCTTGTTTTCTTTTCTTCTTTTCCTGCTTCCCCTCCAGGCCCTTAAACTGACACGAGACATAAAGAGAGAACACTTTGCCAAATCTGCTGTCAGCAAGTGGACAGTACTGTTTACAGCTTATGACCTTTGTGAACCCTGCATAATTTTCCTAATGAAGCTGAGACTGTTAATGGGCCCCATACCCGAGTGAAGATCCTCCCGTTTTGGAACTGAACTCATTCTGAAGTATGCAAAATCTTCCTTTTCTGGGATGGTCAAGCACCTATTGTGGAGACAGTGTTGAACACCATCCTGTCAAAAACACACTGTATAGCCTTTACAGTAGTTATTTGTCATTGAGTCTGTGGTGTTTCAATATATTAATGGTTTATGGGATGTTTTAAGTTGGCGTTTATTTTCAGGGGGTTTCCCCATCTGCCCCCAAAATCTCCAATTTGTTTATTTTTATTTAGATGTTTAAATCATTTTCTTTTTCTCTCCCTGGTGAATCTAAGATACAGCAGATGCACAATGAAAGTCCATGCTAATTACCATCACTTAACATTGCTTCCGACACCAACAGGTCCTGAGTATGCATCTTTTGCTACACCAATCAAGAGTGAATGAATTCCAGAGAGAGGTGATTTGTGTGTGGTTTTTCTTGTTTGTTTGTTGATTTTTTTTCCTCAAATCTTTTATTAAATATAAATGGTACACATCTGTTTTTCATAAGCTTCAAACCAGGGTTGATTATAAAACAAGGGAAACTATTAAGGTTGAATCCTGTCCAGTGCATCCTGAGCTAGGATACTTTTCATAGTGTTTACAGATTCAGCACCTGATTTGCTGTAAAACAGATCAGTCTCACCTATTGCTTTATGTTAACACCACTGCCCTGATGGCTGCAGTGAACAGAGTTGAGCTATCTCAGCAGTTCGGAACAAGCTATAAGCTGAGTTGCCCACCCCTTGCCAAGCAAGTTGAACATAACTGGTGAGGATCTGGTTTTAAAAAAGAAAAACAGAGGAAATGATAATGTACTATATTGCAGAAAAGATACACTCACAGTGCACACATCAGCAGTGACTTGTAGCAGAAACCTCAGAAGTTCAAACACAAATCAATGCAGGGTTAGCTTATTGCATCAGTGATTTTTCTTACAAACATATCCTTGATTATTTTTTTCCTTCTCACTATGCGTAATCCAATCTGGACGAAGAAGCAAGGAGAGGGAAAGGCAAGGAAGCAATATCATACAAATGACTTTTCATGTAGGTGTAGATTGTAATTGGATAAATGACACTGAAAGATGAGGCAGTTTTATATATTTTGCTTATATGGGTTTCTTTTGTAAAATGAATAATAATGAATGAATAATAATGAATAAAAGGTATGGTGCTGTATAGATCCTCTCTATAATCTGGAAAATTTGATTACTTTTTATTAGTATATTGTGGGGGGGGGAGGAATAAAGGGGAGAAAACACCAATGGTACATAAGAACTTGCTATGAAAAAGCTCTGAATAGGACAGTGTATACATAATTCTCCAAAGTGATATATGAAGTTTTTTTTTCTTTGCATAAAAGCATTATGCATATAAATATATAAATATATTTTATTATGTACAGAAACAGATCATTATGCATGAATGTTAGAAAGACAAGCTAGCATTTTAACCCAAAGTTTCAGTGCATGAGTTCCCACTGACACATGTACCATGCAATGTGGAGTGACTCCTTTTGGCCACCATGCACACACCCCTACACACAAGTGCACGCACAGAGACTCTTGCACCTGTACCCATTTGTGGGCCCCATCTTGCTCCTTACTTTTCAGTTTCCTGAGGTAATACCGGTGATATAACAGCTCCTAGTGTGATGGAAGTTTTGTTTTGTATTGTAACCTCCTCATGCTTGTGCTGTTCTATTTTCTAGATGAACCTGCTGATTTCATCATGCAGTTTACTGCCTATGTAAACTCTGTGCAGTTGTGGTTATAGTAGACCCCTAGCATATCAACTCTTCCAAGCAGCTGAGAGTTTATCAATAAAAACAGCAAACCTTTCTTTTTTTAATTAAGGTGGTGTATTTGTTAATGGCAGATTCTAGTTTAGGGAATTTTCTTCATCAGAATTAACTAATGAACAATATTGGTGTCTCCCCTTGAGAAGATACTTCTTGTAGCCAGTTCTCCAGGTTGATAGTGTTGTCCTACAGTTATCTGTTTTAGGGGTCTGTTTCTCTTAAGAGTTCAGGTGTAGGTATCGTTTACCAAAGTTAGTATAGAGCTTCATGACAGTTGTTCATTGCACTCAAAGTGTGTAACGTTATCCGCCAAGTTTTTAGGTACATCGTTAAATGTGAGTTAGGCTGAGGGTATTTTTTAAATTTTTTTTGGTCCTCTATCACATTGCTCTTGCGGACTGGAGGAATTCTTTTCTTCAAGCCACTCCACAGCTGCTACTCCAGTACTCGGGCCACACTTAGCCTTTGCGCTGCCTCTGTGTCCCTTCTGCAGTGAGGAATGGCTGGCTTCATTTCCTGGATCCCTGCTGTACAGTCACAGATTGCAAGTGAACTCTACACATTCAGATGTTCACCCCTGCAGCCCTCCCACAATCTGCCCCAACTGCACCCCACTTCCACGTTTTGAAGGAGAGAGGGACTGAAGTTGGTGAGCAGAAATTGGTTCCAGATTTACAGCTGTACACAATTCTGCAATCTTTATTCAGTAGAAGTCTCCCCTGAAAGCCAGTGGAGCTATCTTCATAGGGATGGCAGAATTGAGTCATGACTGCCTACTGATAACTCAGAACAAGTTGTGTTCAATGTTAGGCCTGAGGGGACATGAACTAGTGGCTTTAGGTTTTTATAGGTATGGAAGCTAGTCTTGTCAAATGGAAGGGAAGGAGTTTGTTTGAACAGACTAGGCCAAATTCTGCTGTGTTAAAGCAATCAGAATGCAGAATAACTCCACTGAAATAAGTAGAGTTAAATCTGGATTTACAATGGCATAGATGAGAGAAGAGAATGTGATCCTCTCTGTTTAGACTATGAAGGAAAAGCAGTTGATTCAGAGGCAACCAATCAATGGCAGAGAAGCTAAAAAATTCCTAAATTTTTTGTTAAATGATGGGCTTGATCCTACTCCTTCTGTATCTGATGGTGTCACTTTCATTGGCCTGCGTAGTGTAGGTTGGGCCTCCTTTGTAGAGGAAGAGCCTGTACTCGCTGGGGAGAGGTGGACACTTATTAGGACTTTTCTGTCTCTAATTTCAGTGGCCAAAATTTTGAAACTTAAGTGCCTCAAGTCAAGCAACCAAGACTGGGATTTTTAAAAGGATCTGGAGGAGTTATGTGCTCTACTCATTGCTTTTCAGTGGGAGTAGTGTACCTAATTCTTACTGCCTTGTTGGAAAAATTCCAGCCTTTAGATGTAGGTGCTTCCAGAGGTGCTGAATAATCACAATTCTTATAGAATTCAAAGAGCCACTGTCAAGTATGGATTTAAAGTGACTAACTTCACAAATCTGCATTTTTTTTAAATTTGGCCTTTGTTCCATGAATGCTTTTAAGGAGTAAAACTTTCCTCCTGTAATCATGTCCGACAGGTAGTCTCAGAAGAAATATATAGGACATTAAATTCTTTGTTTAAAAAGTTCTGAAAAAGGTCATGTTTATGCAGTTTGGACAATTGCATGCGTCTGTTTTTATTTAATATTCTTTGGGAAACTTGTTGTATTAATAATTGGTTATTGGCCACTGCCTAACTCCATAAATAATTGTATGAGTGCTTTAAAAAGCAACATTTTAGGATCTGTATTTCTTTAAAATAATGGCATTGCTTGGCAATCAGTCACCTACAATTGTTTTAGTACTTAGTGTACATTAGGAATGCCAACAGAGGCGAAGGGGGACCAGATATAGTTAGTTAATATGGGTTGGAAAACAGGATTGTGCATTTGGCTTAATATGTTAAACTTTTTTTTAAAAGTTGCATGATTGGAAAAAATATGTATACAGTATCTGTAAAACTGTTTGATCTGTTTTTGTTTCAATCCATATACAACTGGAAGAATATTAAATTCACAGCCTTATAGTGTATGGCTGAATACAAACTGAAAAACTGAACAGTATCCATTTTCATTTGGACTATGTTTTACTTTCATTTGAAAGGAGACACTATCATGTTGCATTCTTTCTAAGGTTTTTTTTAAATAATAATAATAATAAATGCTGCCCTGGATGAATATACTACCTTGCTACACAAAGATTGGAAACAAGTTTGTTTTGGGAATCTCCCCCTTTCCAAATGAAGTAGAGATGCAGTGCTTACTCCACTCGGTGTTCGTAGATATTGCCTTGTGTATTCCATTTTAAATTGTAATCTAGTTTGTAAAAGAGATGGTGACGCATGTAAATAAAGCATAATGGATCTCTATATTGAAGATGCAGCCTTGTTTTTATTTTAGTTTATTCTGATGCAGCCATTTACAGCTAAAAAATATGAAGAAAAACTGCAATCATAGATATGCACAGATGTATTTAATTTTTTATGGGACCTAATCTACAGCCCATCTGATATCACTGAATATGTTTGTTTATTTACTGGCTTCACTGGCACAGACTGAAGAAATTGCATGGCCTAAGACTGGAAACTAGAGAGCACAGACCAGGACCTTCTCAGTAGCAATCTCCTGACTCAGGAATTCATTCCCACCAGAAACATGGCTAATCCCAAACCCAGCCACAGTTATAAAACCTTTTATACACCTCTTTGTCCAGTTTTCCCTTTAACAGTAGGCTGTCATTTCAGGAGTTATTGTAGCTGTGTATATCTCTGCTGGAGATGTGCTAAGTCTGCAAGGTCCCTTCTCTTTAAGACCATTTTTCAAACTCAGAGCTTAAATATAAAAGAACTTGCCCATTCCTATCCCATCCTCACCACCAGCCAGGCAGCAAGCACTGAGGGCCCAGCACAACTGACCTTAATGCTGCCCTCACCACACCAGACTGCAGTCCAGGAGCTGATTGCTGATTTGCAGGGAACCTAGTTTTCCCTGTTAAAAAATCGGAGTTTTTCTGATTAAAAAAATTCTGAAATTCTCTGATTAACTACCCCCCAAATCTGCATTTTTCCACTATTAAATGACACCAAACTATGGAGAAGTGCAGCCACCCCAGAGGAAACGCTAGCAATCCAGGCCAACTTTGACAGGTTTACAAGGTGGGCGTATCAAAACCTGATGGCATTCAATGCCAAGAAACACAAAGTGCTCCACCTTGGGAGAAAGAACCCACACTACACTTATATGCTAGGCAGTGCTACGCTAGTTAGCACGGCATCTGAAAGAGACTTGAGGGACCAAGTCTCTCTCTTTCTGAAAGAGACCACAAGATGAGTATGAGAAACCAATGTGACGTTGCAACCAGCAAACCAAACAAAACTGGCCTGCATCTTCCGATGCATCTCAAACAAGACCCAGGAAGTCATCCTCCCGCTTTACTCAGCTTAGGTGAGACCACTGCTGGAATACCGTGTCTGGTTCTGGGCTCTGCAATTCAGAAAGGATGTGGAGAAGCTCGAGAGAGTCCAGAGGAGAGCCATGTGAATGATTAAAGGACAAGAGAGCAGGCCTTATGGGGAGAGGTTCAGAGACATGGGACTTGTCAGCCTGGAAAAGCATAGGCTCAGGGGTGACTTGGTGGCAGCCTACAAGTATATAAGGAGTGTGCATCGGGAACTGGGAGAACATCTATTCACCAGCGCACCCCATGGGAAAACTAGGTCCAACAGTCACAAAATCTTGGAAGACCATTTTAGGCTGGACATAAGGAAAAACTTCTTTACTGTCTGAGTCCCCAGGGCGTGGAATAGACTTACCCCAGGAGTGGTTCAGGCACCTACTCTGGATTCCTTTAAGAAACACTTGTATGTCTATCTTGCTGGGATCATTTGACCCAATGAACTTGCAAGGTCCCTTCCAGCCCTAATGCCTATGAAATCTATGAAACGCCACTATATATAGGTATCAGTTGCACACAATGTTTTATTGAAATATTTACAATTTTTAAGTGGTTTGGAAGCCTACCAGTGCCTCAATCATCATAAAATAAATTCTATAACTTATCATGGAAAATCAGAACTCCCCCTGCCCCCTTGCTCACCAGGATGCGCGTCCAGTTGTGGCTCTCACTCCTGCCCCTCCCCATGTTGCTTTGTGGCACTGTGCTGTCCCGATATGCCATTGCCCCTCACTTCCAAGCTACAGCCCCCCCCAGCCCTGCAGGTGCCCCTCACTCCTGACCCATAGCCCCTGCTTACCTCCTGGTAGCAGCTTCCCCACTGTGCCAGGACGTGGGGCCAACTGGCTGTCCCCCTCACTGCTTTGTGCCACTGAACACTGAACATGCCAGTGCCCTGCCCATGCCATTGCCTCTCACCCTCAAGCCACAGCCCTGACGGTGCCCCTGTGCTTTCTGCCATTCCCCAGCGAAGGGAAGCCTGGCCGCAGGCAGGGCAGGCAGGAGGGGGGGGGGAAAGAGGAGCTGGGGAAGAGGAATGGGGAATGTGATGGGAGTGCAGCAGGGGCCACCTGCGGGGCCAGGTAGGGTCTGCCGCAGCTGCCTTTTAACCCTCCAAGTGGGGGCTGCTGCCAACCACCTGCTGACCCCATGCAATTCCCTGGCCCACTGCAGTGTCCACCCCATTACCCCTGCCCTGCTGCTCCCAGGTGCTCACCGCCCAAATGGTTCCAGATGGCAGCAGTGGGCGCAGCACAGTGCAGCGCAGCCCAGTGGAGTGGGGCTGACAACTGCGGGCTCACTGCAACTCCGGCCAGTCCCTGCATCTGTCCCCACTGCAGATCCCAGAGCCACTCTGCTGGGATGCACCTCAGCCACCCCAACCATTACCAGCCCCGAGCGGTTTGATGCCCCTGCCACCGCCTTCTGGAACCATCTGGGCAGTGAGCACCCGGGAGCAGTGGGACGGGTTAGTGGGGTAGTGATGGGATTTGCGTGGGAGCAGCAGGCAGGCAGCAGCAGCCCCTGCTTGGCAGAGGCTAAAAGGTGGCTGGGGCAGACTCCACCTAGTCCCATGGGTGGTCTAGTCAGACCTCACCTAGTCCCATGGTGCATCCCCTTTTACTTTTCTTCCTCTTCCTCTCCCTCCCCTCCATCCCATTTTCCCTGCCTGTCACCAGGCTTTCCTTTCTCCCGCCCTTTCCAGCAGGGGCAATCAGTGGGCTCCAAAACCGGCAAAATAGAGTGATGGGCTGCGCTGGGATCAGGAAATTGCTGGCTCCCTCATTTCCAACTCAGCCCCCTGCCAGAAGGAGATCCAGCTGCCCCCAGGCCCTACTTACCCCAAAAGCTGTAGGAGGTGAAGTGAGTTTGAGCCTGCCCTAGTTGGTCTCGGATTCTCAGGCCTCCCCTCCTCCCCCCACCTCTAGACAGGGTTTAGGGTTTCATGCCGTTTTTGCAAGCAGCTCATTGCAGGCTGGAATTTTGCCAGCCTGCAGAGAGCTGTTTGCAAAAGGGGAAACGTGGTTTCCTGCTTCAATGGGGAAAATCTGCATTTTTCTCCTTTAAAGGGGAAACCTGTATTTTTCTGCAGGAAATGGAAAACCCAGAGAAAGAGACAGCTGCTCAGGAAGAAACCTGGAAGTAGGAGAGACACAGTAGTGGGTGCCTTCTCCAGTTTGTGTCATGGCAGAGTAATGCCTTAGAAGGGGCAGAAATACAGCGAGGTAACTCACTCCACCAAATGCCAGCTGTTGCACAGAATTCCCGGCTCTCTACATGGGATAATATATGCTCCTTATCTCATCAACCAAAGGAAATATTTGCAGCCATGAACAATGGAGGAGGAAGCCAGCACAAGGGTAAGGAGAGAGACGGGAGGGGAGCTTCTACTTCAAGTGGAGAGGAGTAAGGGTGCTCCTACCCTACCTTGGAGATTATGGGTAGACCAAGTGTATGAGGGAGTCCAAAAGGCAAGGGACTCTAGGCTGTATCCATTTTCAAGCACTGGAGAGTGTGTGACAGAGTTGGTGTCCATAATACACACACACGCTTCCTGAAAGTGCCCTGTGCCCAGATTTGCCTGCCAGCTCTGACATAGGCCAGATACAGACATGACACTTTTACCAATATAAATGATCGGAAACCAATCTGTACTCATAACAGAAGTTCAGCACACAAAACCAGTCTATACTCGTAACAGAACAGAAATTTGGTGCACACAGATTGGTTTAAAAATGGTGGAAGCCAGGCTAAGATCTGTACCCCCCCAGCACATCTTTGTTGTGTGTGCTACTGATCTAAACCACACTGCTTACAGGAAACCATGTAATATGGATTGATTCTGCCTCAGGTTTTTTGAATGTCTGTATGGGGCCATAAGGATTTCTCCCTTAGGTTATAATTGAAGGATCTGGGCATGATACCTGCTGGGACCAGGGAGGCCATAGCCCCCTGGGGAATAAAAGGAGGCGGCAAATGAAATATGTAAAAAAAAATGGTTTACAAACTGAAGCAAAACCTAATTATAGAAAACAAAGCCATAATTTCAGCCATGAGGCCTGCAAGGAGTAATCTGTAATTGAAAAGCAAAGGAGATGCCTGGGTTTTGAAAAATGGCTCCCTCTTTCTGGACTGAATATGCCAGGGGGTCCCACAGTATGGTCCCTTCCCCAAATCGTTTCCTGCCTATATTTCTGACAAGATGCAATGAACAAGAGCTACAAACAGTGGCAAGAGTGGTTGGGGCAGTGGGCTCAAGAATTACAAGTGAAAGGTCAGGTGGCCACTTAGGTCTGCTTGTGTACTTCTGCGAGGGGAGACTGGACATGGCATGCTCCATTTTAGGGAAAATCCTGGTGTGGCCACACTTGCTCAAAGCCTTCTCTGGGCAAAGGGAGCAGCAGTTTTCCTGCCAGCCAAACTAAAACAACAGCAGTCTGGGGCAGGCTGCATTATGTTACAAGTAGCAGCATCCACCTGACCTGGTCAGAAGGCCAGCTGGCATTGTCGGGAAAAGAGCTGATTTGCATCAGGTGCAAAGAGAGGAGAGGCTGAGCAAAGTAACCAATCAGTGCTGACATACTTGGGCCTGACCGTTAACACCTCTGGGAGAAAGAGCCTGCTAAGCATGCCTCAGGTGACCTCTTTGCAGGGAGTGGACAAGGTGGTGTGGTCTTTGCAGGTGCAATGAGACAATTCAAAGTTACCTTTGCTAGAAGAGAGGCAATAGCTTAGTTTTCCAGCCCAGCCAGAACAAGCTGTATAAAAACTCTTGCAAATATAGCAGCTGCTGCAGGACACAGTCTGAATGGATCTAAAGAGGGAGAATGAGGCTTGCAGCTTGTAGGCAGATGGTTCAAAGATGAGTATTTTGCTAGAAAGGCAAGCTCCAGGGTAATTTGTGGGCCAAGCCAGCG